GACAAGACTTGATACTTTCTCCAAAACCCAAAGTGATCTGTGTAAATATATTATTATTTTTGTTTAAAAGGACTCGAAACAGAAACGGCAGGACTTGGGACTTGGGACTTGACACTTTTCAGTCTTGACTTGGCCTCAACTCGGACTTCGCCTGTCTTGACTTGAGACTGGACTCGGACTCGAGTGCAAAGACTTGAGACTTACTCGTGACTTGCAAAGCAATGACTTGGTCCCACCTCTGTCATCTACTAAACTTGCTCTCATTTTTTGCTCTCTCCCATGTCTGGAAACCAAATCTGTGTATGTGTCCTGTTTCGCTTTTTCCGATGGAGGGGAGCGAAAACTTTCTAATGAACCAAAGGGGGTTCATTAGAAAGAATGAAGCAGAGAAAGTTCGTGAACCACTGGCTTAAACATGTAAATAATGATGTCACTGTATCAAAGTTCAAGTTTTAGTTTTTATATAGACAAGCTGCGATAGATTTGTTATTTACACACATTGAAAAAAAAATCTTTCAGCCTATGTGGCATAAAGGAGTATCCATGAAACTTTATCCATTTTCCTGCGGCTGGTCCAAAAAAAATGAACGGAGAACACGACCAATATGTGACCCGCCTCTTACGCATTAGCAACTCGGCCGGTGCTTTCTCCGTCAATCATCTCCAGAAAGATTAGCACACCCTCTGAAGGAGTAATAAAAGCCTCAACACACAGATATGTCAACATCGTTCTCCCTTAGACCTCATTAAAAAATCAGAACCATCCTACCTGCCAACTTGACCTCTCTCAACCTTTCTGATCAAAGGTGCCGTGCATTCTCACTTCCCGTTTAACCGCAGTCTTTGTTGTTAAATCTGCTGCCAGTAAAACCAGTGAATTATTAAGCAAAATGACCAATTTCAAATTTTGCTTTCCTTCCCGAAAACTGCGTCTCAGATTCACACTCACACTCCCCTCACGGTCGCTGACTCTAGACTCCTCCCATTCCTCAATCTCTTCACCCTAAACGCCCTAAACATACAGTCAGTCTGTTTTATTTATTTTCTTTCCAGACGCACTTTATCTGTTTAGTTAAAAGGCTGACTCCTCATCCATTTCGAACCCTAAGTTCTAGATTTGTAACTCGTCTTGTTCTGGAGCTTGAAAACAAAACGACAGCTAATTTCTAAGATTGAAAACAAAACGACAGCTAATTTCTAGGAGTTAACGGCAACTCATTTTTAAAAAAAAAACAAAACAATTATGTTGATTAGTTTCTTACAAAGTTGATTAGATAAAAAATTTCGAAAGAGCACAGTGAACGTTCATCGCATACCCATTGTGCTTTCTGTTGAGTTGCTCCATGAAGGCTCGGACCAGTGGCAAAGCTTCGCTGGAGCGAAGCAGCAAATTCCCAGAGACATTGCAGTGCAGGTCAATCCAGTCTGAACGAAACGCCTGGAAATCCAGGTTGGCAATCTGGAAAGTCTGGTCCCAGTTCACTTCAGCGTCGTACTCCGGTGGAGGAGTGAGGTCTCCATCATCAGGGCCCTCAAAGTCTACATCCGGTATCCAAACGGGGTCCCACTCATCCTTGGCTCGGTCTTCTCCCGTGGCATTTCCTTTTGATTGCTTCTCATCCTCTGCTACCATCTCTGTTTTAATGCTATTTTGTAAACCCTGCCATTGCGCCACGTTCATGTCCGTCTCTTTATCCCTGAGGTGTTTCCTGTTATCTGCATCTCTCTGGTTAAACTTGATTAAAAGCTGGCTGCTTTCTGCAGCGGTGAAACCGTTCTTATTAGCTGCCTGGATTTCACTAGCTGCAAATCCCTTCTCTTTGGCCATGGTGGGCCTCTCTGTCAAAGGGGCACCAGTGACTGAAAACAAAAAGCCGTTAGGTGCATTAACGGGTGTATAATTCTTTTTATACCGCCGCTGAATGGCATGTTTTTTTGCAATTAGCTCTGAAATGACAGCGGTTTCCTCCTTTGCTTTAATTTGTTCACTAACCCCTGGCATTGGATCTTTCTTCTGTTGCGCTGTGATCGTTTTTTTCTTTTTTTCAGCAGGCAATCGTTTCTGTTTTGCCGTCAACTGTTCTGCCACAGTGGCTCGCGTTTGCTCCGACTGCGGCGTTTGTGGCTTTTCTGGCCGGAAGAGGTTGTATTTTGCCTTCTTTTCCCTTAACTTATGTACTCGCAGCTCTGTGTCAGAAGAGCTGAATGTGCGATTGCCGCCTTCTTGTAACGTCAAAGAGAAAAGTTTGCGTCTGTGCATTTGATTAACTTCATCCCGGTACCCTTGATAGTCCAAGAAAAGTGCGTTGTCCATCGGCTGCTCCCTAATTTTCTTCTCCCTTCGATGGACTCCGTAGTCAAACTCGTAGTCGTTCTCATACATGACTGACTTCTTACCGGTGAACTCAAAATCTGATGTTTGAAAGAGGAGAAAGAGGAAAAAAAAACATTTGGAGAGAAATCAACTAAACTGCAAATTAAAATTAAAATTTCAAAGGATGAAAAAAAAAAACAAAAAGTACCTCTGTCCAGAAAAAAAAAAAAAAAAAAGTACCTCTGTCCAGGTTTCTTTTTTCAGGAGGGTCAAGTCTCATGTATCTAGAGAACTTATACCTGGAAGAAAGAGGGTAAAACAAATCCGAACAATCATTGAGCCCACATTTACCTTTCAACTTTACTTAAAAACACAGCGCTAAAAATACATTTTTTAAAAGCCCTTTTAAAAGAGAAACAGAGACCAGCAAATGGTTATCAATAAGTATGTCAGATATTCACTTTTTGCCAATATTGTCCAAACACTTTCCAATTCCGATATCAACCGATATCGATATAGGTTTGGTAATCCAATTCCGATATCAACCGATATCGATACAGGTTTGGTAATATTTATCTCATTTATCTGTACAAATTAATTAAATGACCTGCAATGCTGCCATCTAGTGACTTTCACTTGAATATACTGCCATTTAGCCCCGAAACAATTTTTAGGGCACACATCACTTGGCAAAATAAAGAAAGGCATCGCTATCAGGTTTTCATTATCGGAGAAAAAAAAAAAAAACCCCGTTAACGATTCTTACAGATTCTACATAATATGCTAATATCGGGCCGTTAAAATATCGATCGGCCGATATTATCGGACAATAGATATATTTTTCCTGGCTGCTACTACATTACTAATGCAGTAACCTTTTTTGGAGAAATTTTTTTTTTTCTTTTAAATCAAATGCCATTTATTTGTCGTGTTTGACTCACATGTTCATGTAGTACTGACTTTCTGGGTAGAAGCAGCTGTTCTCTGTCTCCATGTGTGTGAGTCGGGTATAATCGTTAGGGTAGACGTAGGACAAGCGCACCTAGGAGACAAATGACACGTTGGTGAAGTGTTGACAGTCTGTCTTCTAAACAAGTCATCATCACACGTGGTCTCTCAATGTGCAGCATAGCTGTTTATTTTTATTTTTGGACATGTGATGTTGTCCTCAGTGACTGCCAATGTTTTTTAGTGGAACATTTATGTAGCCCCACCAATAAAATCCTCTGCTCATTTGTGTCTGAGAACCATGTCTTAGACCAGGGGTGTCAAACTTATTTTCACCAGGGTCAATGAAAGACTACAGATCAGGGGTCTCCAACCCCCGGTGCGTGGACCAGTACTGGTCGATTGATCATTTGGTACCGGTCCACAGCGAAAAAATGTACTTAATTTTTATTCATTTGCTTCATTTAAAGAAAATCATATCCATTTACTTTCTTTATTTAAAGATAATCGGGCAATATTTTAAAAAATAATACGTCATTCAGACACAGAATAGAGTCCTAGCGGTAACTAACTAACTAACTAACACATGTTTCTGCAATAGATTATTATTTATTCCAGCTACATATATTGTTCACTGTTTCGTAAATAAAACAACTTTTAATCACTTAGGTTAGGAAACTCTGCCGCATGGACTTTACTTTAATGCTTTTTAAGCTCCTGCGGACCACACAAAACGGCTCGGCGGGCCGCATTTGGCCCCCGGGCCTTGAGTTTGACAGATATGTCTTAGACACTACACATAACGGTTTTTTTCTACAGGATTTTTTTTTTTTTTACTGTAGTTCAACAACTATTGCTTGACTCATTCCCAGCTAACAAACAATTATTTATCATTTGCATGGGTTTGCGATTTATCTTCAGGTGCGACTTATATTTTAAAATATATAATTTCACTTGTTTGTTATTTTCACACTGACCGCCGCTAGAGGGCACTCGAGGCTTGTCTACCAGTATCTGCTACTCCTGTAGCACTGAAAATTTACGTGTTTGTTACTTTCACACTGACAGCCGCTAGAGGGCACTGGTGCGACTTATACTGCGGATTGAACTGTTTTTATTAACCTATTCAAACACTAATTCTAATTATATGAAAAAAAAAAAATCAGGTCCCAATATTTTGTGACGATTTGAAAGCAGACTATGTTTTAAGGGACACTAAGTCGCCTTTGTGATGTTTATTAAACCCTGGACTGAATTAGACAGGTTTAATGTATCATTATTGGTAATGAAGCCTCTGCACAGTAATTTGACCTTTAATGAGAGGATATTAAGAAATACTTCAAAAAAAAAAAAACAAAAAAAAAAACATACAAACTGCAATCCTTGGTATCGCAGCAGAGGGAAGTCTTTGATTGTGTAGCTGGGTTTGTACAAGCAGT